ACGTATCTCAGAGTTGTCTATGCCCAGGTTAGTGCCGGATGTAAAATGGTAGCTTCAAATAAATCCTTTGAAGTTTTGGGAGTGTGGCTCAAGGCGCAATATTTAATTGGAGTAACTGCCGGAACCCTGACAATGGCTTTCCAAAAAAGCCATCCATATCTGGAATCACTTGCTGCTAATGATTAGCGATGTGATGCCCCAGCACATCATTTTTATATATTGTTGCTCTCTAGTCCCATCTAGTGGCCAAAGGGACAAATGCCAAGTATATTGTTTGAAGCTGACCCAACCTACATACCCATCAGCCTGTACTCTCAAACCAAGTGCAGGCTGGGAAGCCAGATTCCATTTCCTTTAGCATTTGGAGAAGGCAGAAGCACAGAGAAGAATCCATCTTAATCTGTGGCACATGGTCATCCAAGGACAAACCCACATCCCTCACACAGAGCATTGCTGGAGAGATTTGAATTGCTTGTATTTATTAATTGTTATGTTCAGCAGTAACTCTGTACTGTCTATCTTGTATTTGATTCTCATTGTATATATCCTTATTTTCCCCAGTCTCACCATATCCTGTTCTTTCAATAAAACGTTCAGATCTATGCACACGGTCTGTTTTATTGGAGGCTAGGTGAGTTTAGCTGCATGTCGAGCTCACACAGATTTATGTAGCTTTTTCTCTGGTAATATTACACTAATAACTAGAACATACAAAACATTTGCTAGACCAATATTCAAATACAGCTCATCAGTCTGGAACCCACATTACGTAGCTGATATTAGCACAGTTGAGGAAGTCCAGAAATATTTCACAAGAAGAGTTCTCCACTCCTCTACTCATTGCAGAATACCTTATGCCACCAAACTCGAAATTCTAGACCTAGAACACCTAGAACTACGCCGCTTTCGGTCGGATCTAAGTATAGTATATAAAATCATACATTGCAATGTCCTACCTGTAAATGAATACTTCAGCTTCAACTATAACAACACAAGGGCAAACAATAGATACAAACTCAAGATTAATCGCATCAAACTTGATTGCAGGAAATACAACTTCAGCAACAGAGTGGTCAATGTCTGGAATACTCTACCTGACTCTGTGGTTTCTTCCCCAAACCCCAAAAACTTTAACCTTAGACTGTCTACTATTGACCTCGCCCCTTTCCTAAGAGGTCTGTAGTGGGCATGCATAAGCGCATAAACATGCCTACCATCCCTGTCCTATTGTTTCTCTTATTCTTTTATTTTTATTTTTCTTATATGTATCCATGTATTCATAACTACATTTTTACTTATACCTATTATCTTGTAAGCAATTGACAAAAATAAATAAATAAATAAACTACTGCAGTGAGGACAGAACAAGTGATAAGGAACAAAAATATGGGTTGTTTGCACTGAATGCAAACTTAATTAGTGTGAAATGTTCAAGCAATGAAAATGTAGCTCTCATTTGAAATGTTCATTTATTCTAGTGCAGTTTGCCCTTTGATGATAGTCCTATTTATGTAAAAAGACATATATTATTGAAGATTATGCATTGTATGCAAGGAAAATGTTGGAAAAATTATAAACACAGTGGCATATATTTGGGGAAATGTACACCCAAATGCATATAATTAGAAAATTCAAGCTTGACATTCCAGATTTGACAAATTATTGAGGAAATAAAGAAATGAAATTGACAGGATCCCAGCCATAAAAAAGGGGGTGAAACCAAAACTGGTACATAAATTATAAATAAGATTGCACAATAAAAGTGCGCATGTTTGGGAAATACAACCCAAAACACATAGCATAACTTTCCAGCTCAACAAGTAAGTTTGACAAAAGTGAGAAATAGCAAATCCCAAATGATGTTCCTCACCATCTCCACCAACAAAGGGCCCAAATGACCATATGTGAAGCTGCCAGACCACATACACACACACACACCATGATTTGACCCCCAGTTAGACCGGGATGGGAACTATAGCAACGTTATGACCTGTGGATTTCAACTCCCAGAATCCCTGAGCCAGCCATGTTCAGGAAGCCAGGAATTCTGGGAGTTGAAGTCCACAGCCATCAAGTTGCCATAGTTGCCCACCGCTGAGTTAGATGAATATGTAGTTCCTAGCAATTCTCCTTCATTGTGGCACAAAACCTCAGATTTTTCTTAGGTCTCTACGAAAATGGGAACATTATCCTTGCGCTGATTGTTTTGCTGTCAATCTTCCTTCCACAAATGCTTCCCTTCTCAAGGACAGCCTGAGTGTTTTTATGCATAAACAGGGCTCTCCATCAAGGAACACCATACAAAAGGCAATGACGGGGAAGAATTTCGAGTATGTCGTGTTTGCCGGCCAGAAAAATTCAAGCTGGACAATTTCCAAGCACCCCTGGAACAATAAATAGAGGCATTATGAATTTATGTTATAATAATAAAAGGATTGGAGGTGGTGAATTTTTTGATTCTACAACCGATGGGTCTGTCCTTCTTTTGGCAAAAAAGGACAACCTACTTTGCACACTCAAAACCCAACAAATAGAGGTGAAAAGTTCATGGAAAGATGCAATTAAGAAAAAAAAATTAGAACACTTAGGCTCCTTTTAGGGAAAAACAGTGAATTGTGAGGAAACGAATGGTGCCGTATGAAATTAGACATAGCCTGGAAAAAGTGGAAAAGAAGATTTTTCATCGTCCCCCCAAGCTCTAAAACCAGTGAAACTGACTAAATATTAATGTTGAGAAGATTAGACAACCTGTGCCCCATCAGATCATCATTTCACAAGTATTTCCTTACCTAAACAGAGAAGCAGAATGACCCAAAAACAGCAGGATTAGAAGCGATGTCTGATTTCCTGCTGGCTTCCCCACTGAGTTTCCTTGTGAGAATCTAGTAGACAGCATCAAAAAACTTCCTTTCTTTCTTCCCTCCCTTTTTTCCTCCCCTGCCCTCTCCTGCCCTTTCCTTCCATTCCATTCCCTCCGCAAGTGGCTGCTGCTGGGTGGGGAAGGATCAAGGGATTGTGAGATTGGCTGGGAAACTGTCACAGAACATTGAAAATGGAGACCATGAGAGCAGCCGCAGTCATCACTGAAGCAGCCACAATTCCCCAAATTTCATTACTTCCAGAGTCAAGGGCCTCCGATTTTGTACACATCCTATAAGCTAGACCACTTGAGGTATCTTGGTTCAGAAATTATTGCCCTTTGGTGTCCCATTTCTCCCAGTTAAAGAACACAAACGAATTTGGTAGCATATAGATAAGAGAGGGAATTCCTTCACACAATGCATCACTAAACTGTGTCATGCCTTCCCACGAGATCTGGTGATGGCCACTAATTTGGATGCCTTTGAAAGGGTATTGAACAAATGAAGACAAAGTAATAGAACAGGGACCCCCAAACCCTGGTCCACAAATCAGCACTGGTCTGTGGCTCATTGGGAATCAACCAGGCTATGCAAGTGGCAGATGAGCATGCAAAGCTTTAGTTGTGCTTGTGTGAGATTGGGTTGTGTGTGCAAAACCATCCCCTCCCCACCCACTTCTGCCCATAGCTGCCATCAGTGCCGGTCTATAGAGCCAGAAAAGTTGGGGACCGCTGTTTATAGTGGGCTTTTATAAATCTCACCAGGCTCAAGGTCGACTCAGCCTTCCATTTACAGATAATCAGAGTTGGAAGGGACCTTGTAGGTCATCTAGTCCAACCCCCCGCCTAAGCGGGAAACCCTCCACCATTTCTGACAAATGGCAGTCCAATCTCTTATTGAAAGTCTCAAGTGATGAAACTCCCACAACTTCTGAAGGCAACTTCTGTTCCATTGGTTGATTGTTCTCACTGTCAGAAAATTTCTCCTTATTTCCAGGTTGAATCTTTCCTTGTTCAGTTTCCATCCATTATTCCTTGTCTGGCCTTCGGGTGCTTTGGAAAATAGCTTGACAGCCCCCCCCCCTTCTGTGGCAGCTCCTCAAATATTGGAAGACTGCTATCCTGTCTCCATTGGTCCTTCTCTACAATAGACTAGCCATGCTCAGTTCCTGCAACCGTTCTTCATATGTTTTAGTCTCCAGTTCCCTAATCTGCTTGCTCTTCTCTGCACTTTTTCTAGAGTAAAATGAATTCCCAGATTGTTGGGGGCAGTCTGCTGACTCTGTGAACCGCTTAGAGAGGGCTGTAAAGCACTGTAAAGCGGTATATAAGTCTAAGTGCTTATTTCTACTGTTATCTTGAAGACTCCATGTCACCTCTAGGTTTAAAGCTGCCTAGATTGGCCTTGCTTTGATCTAGCCGGGTTATTCTTATCTTCTTAACAGCCTGCACTTTTCTCACAAGAAGGAAACGAGGAAGTAAACCAAGAAACACAACAAGAAACGGTGGAGGTGTTAAACACATGCTGTATTTGAACATCCTTACAAAATAAGTAGAATTACAATGCATGTTTCCATTTCTAGCCAAGGTTTATAAATATTTACAAGCTCCTGGGTTGGCCAAGTGGTCTTCGACCTTCCATGACACCTTTCAAAGCAGGAGGACTTCAGGGAACAGCTCAATACATTTCTAAATGCTTAGAAATAAAGGAAAAAGATTTCATGAAATACAGAGAGGAGTACTGTGGGTATTAAACTGTTCCATTCTAATGCAGTACAGGTAGTACCTTGACTTACAACAGTTCATTTAGTGACTGGTTGAAGTTACAATGGCACTGAAAAAAAGTGACTTATGACCATTTTTTATGCTTACAACCGTTGCAGCATTCCCATGGTCACGTAATCAAATATGTGTTTCAATACCATACCAGACTTATGGCTAGCATGACCCTTAGAGAAAGCTAATGCACATCCAGATCTCATATTTTGATAGGCCCTTAAAAAAGAAAGCAGAGAAAGTAATGGCATTCTACCTTAAAATATGTGTTCAGGGTTCACTCAATTTGGACAAAGATTCGCATTTTGTTGGTCACTTCTTTTAGAAGAATACCAGCTTAAGTTCCTCTTGTCTTTTGCTTTTCAAGAACTTTTGGCATCCCATTTCTACGTCTTGTTGGTTCTTATTGGGAATTGAAGAATGGAAGAGGAGGAGAAGGAGGAAGAGGAAGAGGAGGAGGAGGAGGAGGAAGAGAAGGAGAAGCACCACTGTGGAAAATCTCTAACCACATAGGAAAAGGGAATGGTGAAAAGTGTATCATGACATCCCAAAGTAAATTAATAGTCTCCTTATATACTAATAACTGATGATACAACACACATCCAGAAGTGCAGAGCTTGCATTGTGATGTCACAATCCTCTATTTGCTATTTTGGCATCACTGGATTTAAAAACGGATGCCCGTGTCTCTCTCTAGTTGCCTTCCTATCAGAGCTAGCCAATCCTGCACTACAGAATGATGGAAGAGTCAGCCAATCAATATCCCCGTTGATGAACAATGGCCCATCCTAAAAGAGGGTGCAAAAAGGGGGATGCAGATACTTTGCTTCAGCCCCATCCCTTTTACCTCCGCTATTGCTTATCCTAAGGCGAAAACTAAGGAAAAGTCCAGGATCTGTGTCATGGCGCGGACACTGTGCCTTATTGCCAAACACTAATCTGGTTATACTCCCGGTCAACTCCTTGCACCCTGGCATTTCTAAAAACAGAACTGTGCCCACAGAGCTGTTAGGCGTATGCTTTCCACCATGCCTCTCCCTTTCCCTACCCCTCCCCAGCAAGCCGCTGAAGCCTCTCTAGGACCTCGATTGGTTCTATCCATCTCTACACTGTTGGTAGTTCCCCGTGATCCAGAAACAAATCTGTGCGTATTTGAGGGGAGTGATGCGAACGGCCACGTTGTACTCCTGGGAGGATCCATTGGTGTCCACCCACTGGTGCCCTGAGAATATCCCTATAATTTTACGCTCCCATTTGTGATTCTGTCTCTTCCACATCCTCACGTAGACTCCGGAACCGCTGGCCCCTGGCTGGGCGTCGCACTGCTGATACAAGAGATCGTACGTTTCATCTTTGACATCACAGAAGCGGTAAACCAAGTTTCCAGGCCGATCATTGTCATAGCCCGAGAAATGAATCCTTCCTTTGGGCAGCTGACGTGCTGTTGGGCTCACTCCAATCTTCATGAACTTTCGCTTATGGGGTTTCTTCAGCTCCAGCAGGGCATAGTCATAATCCATGCCAATGTCGTTGGCATTCCCTTTGATCCATCCTTTAGGAACATGTGTCCGTTTCACCCGAATCCACTGGAACTTCATTTTCTCGGGCTCAAGGGCACTACTGTGATTGGTCCTTTTGACGCCATCTTTCGGCTTGGGTCTCAGGAACCCAACCCGTAGCTTCTTGGCTCCCTTGACGTAACTCTTCCCATCATGGATGCAATGAGCAGCCGTCAAGACGTGTTTTTCAGCCACTAACGTTCCGGTGCATCCCGTGGACAACTTCACGGAAGTAGAAAACGGGTAGTTCAGCAAGAAGTCCTTGCCAAAAATACTAAACCTGGTGTCGTAGCCGTAGATTTGTCTCTTTGTCCGCGATCGGCTCTGTCCCCCTGTGTTGGTCCTGCTAACAATGTAGATGCCCACCTCAGTCTCGGTGCGGGATCCATTGGAGTACAACGTCTCGTAGGACAAATAATCTTTCACTTCTTCATACGTGGGGGGCGGGAAACGTTTGTGGCAAGATGGGCCACACGGGGAGACCACTTCCAGCTGGGCTTCTGAGCCAAAGTGGGGTTTGTCCAAAGGGATGGTTAATTGGGGTAGAACGACGGGCACCTTGTAGGTTGGCCAAGTTGGCTTCCCCTGAGGATGTGAGGGCACAACTCCTTTTACAATCCATAGGAGCAGGAGAAAACCTGGCAGTGCCACCATGGTGAGCAAGGATCTGGAGAAAAAGAAGAAAAGTTTTAATGAGTAAAGTATTAACCAGCTATTCTACTTCGATCCTGAAGAAACAGAATAAAAGGGATTAGCAACAGAATAAATCTGTACTAACTTTCCACCTTTTCAGTTACAGGTAGTCCTCAACTTACGACCACAACTGAGCCTATTTCTGTTGCTAAGTGAGTTAACTGAGCTTTGCCCCATTTATGACCGTTCTTGCCACAGTTGTTAAGTGAATCATTGCGGTGGTTGTTAATCTGGTTTCCCCATTGACTTTGCTGAAAAGGTTGTAAAAACAGTCATAAGTCCCTTCTTTGTAACATTGAGTGGTCACTAAATGGACTGTCGTAAGTCAAGGACTCCCTGTATCACCAAGGTTGGTTATGTACTCCATAGCTTCTCCATCTTCTCGAAGACCATTATGTATAAACAAAACTTGTTTGATTAAGTGAATCTTTGCAGCGGCTATGTTAACAACATGTTTGTTAAGTGAATCTGTCCTTCCCCCATTGAATTTGCTTGTCAGAAGGTCGCAAATGGGGATCACATGACCCCAGGACACTGCAACCGTCATAAATATGAGTCAATTTATCAGTCTTTGGTTGCCCTACACAGGAGAACGGAGCTGGAAAGCAGGTTAGTGGGGTGGGGAGGGAATGGAGCTTTTGCAGTATCCTTCCCCCAGGAGTGGGGAGGGAATGGGGATTTTGCAGTATCCTTCCCCTGCCACGCCCAACAAGCCACGCCCAACAAGCCACGCCACGCCCAACAAGCCATACCCACAGAACCAGTAGTAAAAAAAAAAAATTGAATCCCACCACTGAAGCCAATGCAGTCTCAAGGCTGCATCAATAGAGGGATAGCGAACAAGGCATTTGCTTAATGATTATACTGTCTGCTTAACAACCATGGTATTTCCTTTATGACCACAGTATTCACTTAACAACTGCTGCACAAAAAGATCCTAAAATCAGGCATGGGAAGACTTGCTTAACAATCCTCACAGCTTACAACTGAAATTGAGAACTCAATTATGCTGGTAAGTCGAGGCTACCTGTAATTTTTTCCTGCCTTTCAGAAGTATAGATGTTTCCTACGTCAGCTACTACTAAAAGAATTGGAAACCATTCGAAAATCATCCTCTGCAAATGAGGGGAGCTTCCGGTTTGTCGGCTTCGCGAGCGGCAGGGATTTGCGAAGCTGCGCGATCCCTGCCGCGCTAGCCGTTTTTGGGGCTCCGACCCACACGGGTACGGAGCTAGGCTGCCCTGAAGGGGCAGCTGAAGGTAGGGGGGATCCGGAGAAGGGACTGGGGGTGTTGCAGACCCCCTCCCTGGCCGGCAGAACCCCCTTTTCCCAGGACGGTGCAGCGGCGGTCCGTAATGGCCGCCACAAAGAAGCTGGCAGCCGGGTAAGAATGCGCAGGAGGAAGTGGAGAAAGTGCTTGAGAGGAGAAAGTTTTTCTTGGCTCCTAGGACTCTAAGACATATTTAATAAAATTCCTGAAAAGTATGACTTTCTGAATAATACCTGCCAGAAGAGGAAAAAAGCGGCTGTTTGAGGGTGCTGAAAGGATAGCTTTCCCTCTTTTCCTACGGAATAAATAACTGGATATTAAGAAACCTATTTTTTTAGGTGGAAATTGGTTTTAAGCGATGAGTGGGAAGAGAGAGGATTAAAAAGAAAATATTTGTATGCTAAGACTTTGTTGGAGCAGATGCCTTAAGGATTTGAAGACTAGAATATATTGTAATAAGATTTTAAACAGATTTGGACTTTCTTTCTCTTTGATTGATATTACCCCAGAAGGAGAAAGTGAGAACTCTGCCTTGGTTTGGACTGATTGATAACTTTGGGACTGTTCTATCTTTTTTATTTTCTTTTGAATATTCTGGTTGTTGTAAGAAGAAAGAAGGAGAAAAGAAAAGAAAAGATTTATAATGGCTCTTTCTGTTGAGGAACTAAGAAAAGAATATGAACAAGCAAAAAAAAATGGTAAAGATGGTGTGGAAGAAGCTTTCCTTTTCTTAGAAATGGCGCTTACTAATTATCAACAAACATTACAACAGATGAAGACAGCAGAGGAACAAGAAAGAAAGGAAGGAGCCATCTTTAATGAATCTCAGAATTTGATCCAGAAAGAAGGAAGAGAGAAAGAAAAGAAAAGAAAAGAAGAGAAAAGAAGAAAACTAAAGGACTTAAGGACTTAAGATCTAAAAAAACATTTAAGAAAGGGAAAAATAAAGTGCAAAACCAATATGATGATAGTAAACAAAAGGGAAAAGGAATACGACAGAGAAGGGAAGCCGGTAAGGCAGAGGCTAGAAGAAGGGGGGGTAGAAAGGTTTGTTGGGAGAAGAAAGAAAGGGAAAAGGTGGAGAAAAGCTACAATGTTTTGAAATTAAATGAAAAAAAGGAATTTTTTATGGATAATGGATAAAGTATAATTTTTTTTTTTAAAAAAAAGATTTTGCAAGGTACATAAGATGAGATGGTAGTATTGCAATGGTTTAAGAGTTGACAAGAGATTAAAATGTTAAAATGTTTAAAAATGATTGGCTTTAAAACTTAATAATAGGAGAGGTTTAGAATATTGTTTTAATTAAAGAGTTTAATAAAATTATGGTATTGATGTTATTATAAAATTTTTATTATAGTATTTTTTTTAAATATTTGGATTTATTGTCTAATTATGCACTTAATTGTGTTGGATGTATTAGTTAGATAGAATGTACCAAGCAAAATCTGATTGGGTATTAGATATTATTTTAAAGATTAATTTGATTAACTTAGGGGGGAGATAGAAAGGCATCATACTCTGATTAATGATTTCAGGAGAAACTGATTTTCTTTTTTTTCATAAGGAATGAGACAAAGGGATGATAAAAAATGGACAAAAGATACAAATATAATGATTCAAACTAAGATGATTAATTAAGGTAGAATTAAGAAGTGTGAAATATGTGGAGAAGTTAATATAGAAGGCTTAGAATGGTAAATAAAATAAGTAATGATATGTAAGATGAGCATGAATATAATTGAAGTCCATGAAGAGAGAGACACCTGGGTCCAAGTTACTTTCCAAAAAGATTTTTTTTATGTTTTGTGTGTTGTGTGTATATGTCTTTTTTGGGGGGAGAATTAGTAAAAACTTGTAGAAATATAGAATGAGAATAATGGTAACTAAGTCAGAAAGAAACAGATGAAATAATAATAATGATATTGAATAAGAGTAAAGAGAAGTAAAGAGAAATTGAATAAGAGGTTTTGGTATGTTATATGGAAATGGTTTAAAACAGAATCATAATTTATCTGACTTGTTAAATTTACAATGGAAAAAGGTTTAAACATGTAATGAATAATGATAATTTGTGTGTTTTAAAAATTAATAAAACTTGTTTTAAAAAAAAAAGAAAAGAAAAGAAAATCATCCTCTGCAAATGTGTGTGTAGCTTATACTCTGCTTCAGTGGATCAGGGCATAGCCACACAAACACCACCCTTACACACCACCCCAGCTGCAAAATATACTTTAATCAAAGCAAAATTCAAAACTGTGAACATTTTGGACACGGCAGGGTATTTCAGCAGGTAAATGTAAATGTTTCATAAAATTCATAGATAGGAGTTCATCTGAAAGTAACCCTCTGTAGCATAATAATCTGAGAATATAGCTGTGGATTGTTTTTCACAGAATTCATGTTCCTCTTGTTCCACTATCTTCTCTATTGGTATCATTTTTATTATTGTTATTACTTTGATATTATGATTATTGTTACCTTGTTGTTTTCCATGTACACTGAGAGCTTCTGCACCAGAGACAAATTCCTTGTACGTCTAATCACACTTGGCCAATAAAGAATTCTATTCTATTCTATTCTATTCTATTCTATTCTATTCTATTCTGTTCTGTTCTGTTCTGTTCTGTTCTGTTCTGTTCTGTTCTGTTCTATACGATACGATACGATACGATACGATACGATACGATACGATACAATACAATACAATACAATACTATTCCATTCTTAAGAAAACAGAGCAGTAAATTATTAATATTCAGAAGTCTGAAATGCCTTACGATGCTTAAGGCAATGTTTAAATTTTTTTTGCAACCCACCCTCTCCCTTTTAAATTTCCCACAACCCCCTTGAGATGTCAATTTGAGAACCTCCACAGGATTGTCTTGCTGGTTTCCATCAGGCTGCAAAAACATTGTGAAACTCAAACCCGCTACCCACATTTCTACTCATCATGGGGAAAAAAATCAATGCCACATTATCCAAAGCCTTGTAAATACCCAAGAGGAAAGAAAACCGCTCAGTAGCGAGGAACAAAAAAAAAAAAGAAAAAGAAAAAGCATGAAAACAACAGGATTGAGAGGTGGGGGAGGGGAGAAATGAAAAATTAATTTGAAAATTAGTCAGGCAGCTAAAGCACCGCAGGCATCCGAATTCCCACTGCAAAGCGGGAGGAAATCTTGCCCACTCCCTGGTCAGCCTTATTCAAGCAAACCATAGCTAATAGTTTACTTTACTTTATTGTCACGCATTAGATGCATCTTATGCGTATTTAAACCCAGCTGGGGTTAAATCAATGAAAGTTAGAGTGGGTTAGCTTCATTCTTGAAATGCCGCAAATGAATGGAATATAACTGCCAGATTTAAGAAAGGGTCCCTGGCACTGGGTGAAGAAGGAAAAAAATTCAGTGTACTCATTGGAGTGTGGTAAGCAGGTGTGGGCTGCTGGGGATTCATAGGGAGAGCCCCTAGCTAAGATTCTGTGCAGTTTGGAGAACCCCCAAATCCCACCCCTGACTGGCCCTGCCCACCTCTCCCTTCCCCTCCCAGGAGTCCCCACACGGCCCGTTTGGATGCAGGTAAGTGCACGGCCCTCATGGAGGCTCGGGGAAGGTGAAAAACGGGCCACCCGGAAGTGCAGGAAGGCCGGAAATTGGCCTGTTTCCGACTTCCAGAGACTCTCTGGAGCTGTTTTCGCCCTC